AAAAGAGTGAGACTGGTCAACCGGTCAAAGAAAAACGAATAAAAGCCTGTCCTTTAAAAAAAAAAAGAAGAACTTGTGCTAACCTGTGTTACCCAGCTAACACCCTCACACTGATCGTTTCGAAGGAAGAAAACAAGTCATCAGCTTGTGGATAGTGCTTAGGTTATTTTAAAGCCAGCGGACAGGTCATACTATTTAATATTTGTTCTCTTTAGAACTCTTATGACAGGAGAGGTAGAGACACACAGTAGGGGAGAGGCAAAAGACATCACCCCATCACCATGATTTTAATATCCAAGTAAACGGCTGTGGGGGCAATTTCAGCATTGATTTACACTGATTGATTTCTCAATAATTTTTATCCCATGAGAAACAGATCACAACCTGAGGTCATTAGGCTTGTTTAATTTGGCTGTTACAAAACTTTGATTAAAACGAGATGCAATCAAACCTTTGAGGACTTTGCACCTTGTTCAACAGCTTTGCTTTTGCTACTTGTAGCTGTGTTTTCAGAAGTGTATTATTGTATTATTATTATTATTATTATTATTGTTGTTGTTGTTTTTAATAGTAGTAGTAATAATAGTGTGGTAGTAGTGGTAGAGCAGCAACTAATAGTTATTTTCATTATCAAGTAATCTGCCTATTTTCTTGTTATTTTAATGGAATAATCTCTATGTTTATAAAATATCAGAAAATGATTTAAAAAAATCTCCATAACACTTTCCAAAGCCCAAGGCGACATCTTCAAAGGGCTTGTTTGGTCCAATCAACACTCCAAAACCCAAAGATATTGAATTAACTATCACATAAGAAAAGCTGAAAAATCTCAGATTTTAGAAGCTAGACATTTTTCCCCAAAAATTACCTAAACAATGATTTGATTATCAAAATATAATTTTATGTCAGTACAGCTATTCAGTTTTTCAAATTATCGTTTCAAGTGTGATTATTAGATTTATTGCCAGCGGGCTACAGCAGCGTGATTTTTGTGATTTGACCTCCAATTCAGAACCACCAGCTGATACAGCATCCCAGCTGGTATTGTTTAATGGTATGATTACAACATACTGCTAAACAATGCAATAACCAGTGAGCAGGATTACAGCATGTATCACTTTCAGCCCCCCCCCCCCCCACACACACACACACACACACACTCACACACACACACACTAACAGCCCAGTTAACACACGGCATGAGCAGTCAGGCCGACAATGTACATTTTCTCCAATCGGCCCCAAAATACAGACAGATAATAGGCTGTGGTAGTTTGAGCAGAAAGCCTTCCAACAGCTCCATATTTAGGCAGAGTAAGACATCTATCTCTCGAGGGCTATTCTAGTCGAGGCCATAGGAGCAATGAGACAGTGAATACCCTGAGATCTGACAGCCAGTCGTCTACTACTGGTTTTCCCCTTCCCCAAGCATATATATCTAATCAGGTAGCAAAGTAACTGCCCAGTCCTCTCGCATGGACTGAACCTCTAATAGGGTTGAATGATATGGGAGGCAAGTTTCACACATTAAGAGAGGTGAACTGAGCTGATCGCTCCAGTCGACGGTGGAAAATGCAGAGAGCCGGGGTTATTCTTTGAGGGAAGGGAAGGGTAGGAGGAAGGATGTGTTAACACATGACCGAGTGCTTTAGGTGGATGAGGAAGACGGGCAAGGATCTGGCCTCATTATTTCAATACGGGGAGAGAGATGTCGTCTAGCGCAGGAAAAGGCTTTTGAATTAGGTTAAACTCGGCACACAAAGTGGGGTTGAGACTCAGAATGTGAATCATCACCGCATTAGGAAATCGTGCAGTGAAACTCAACAGCTTGCTTTCAATGAAACTTAATATTATTACTGAAGCATTAAGATTAGTTTTTTTTTTCACAGCTTAAGCTACGAGAGTGACAATTTATTTATGCAGGAAGGTTGGTTGTCTCTGTGAGCACCTTCTGTTTATTTACAAGGCTTTCTGACACAAACCTTTACCTTGCCACGCATAAATTAGCTAAATCGAGGACTGGAGTCCAGGAACTGCAAATTCTTTGGGAAAGGTGTTAAAATGCTTGTTAAAATGGTTCTGTGGAAATAAGCCCTTAGCTTCTATGTGCCCACTAAACAGAAGTAATGGCACAAGTGTTTGAAGTTAGAGTCTCTAATAACCCTTGACAATGGAAATAGAGACCTCACGAGTTACAGAGCTGATTTTCTGCCTGCTTGTCTTAATATTCAAGCGTGTATATGTGTATGTTATTGTCTGTCTGCAGTGGATCATGTTGTCTGCCAAGGTTTGTTTTCATTATCTCGAGGCTTCAATGTGAGCTTGAGATGTTTAATATATGATCCCTTATTTAAATCGCAGGCTGCTCCCATTACAGGCCAAGATAATGTTATTGGAGCCACCCAAATCTAAACCAAATATTGTGTTACGTTAACAGCTCCAAACAAAGAAAGTCAGTCCTCAGTTAATCAAGCAGAACAATTCAAATTAGCACAACCATCCCAATTTGCCCCATGTTTTCCCCAACAAGGAGCTTCGTGTTTCGTGTGCATCATAGCAAGTGAAATGAATCAGTGACCTAATTAAAGGAGGACAGATAGACCTGCAGTCAGCAGATTGCTTGATTGCTGCTGTTGCACATTATACAGCTTCAGGTGCTCCAACATCGTCAGTGCTGTGTGGGTGTCATTACTGAATGTGACACAAGACGCTCTTTGAAACAGCGTGCAACCACGGTGTGATGTCTGACAAACATCCTATCACTATTCCAGCCTGTCACAAAAGTAAACATCCACAGTAGCTTGTGTAAATTTGGAAAGGAAAACACAAATACTATTGAGGCTACACACAGTTTAAAACAGATAAACAACTTGTAAGACGCCCACAACCAACAATGCCGGGTCCGGACGGGAAAACCGCAAGAATTTTTGAGTCTATATCTTTCTCCAACATTTAGGACAGATAATCAACTATTCATACAAAATGCAACCGAGGGACTGTAGGATCACTTGGGCACAAACAGATGCAGTGATGACAGACGATTTAGTGATATTCATCTCGTCCACAAACATAATAATCTCCTTGGAGACAGGCCTGTGCTTTAACAGATGCTACCAAAATGGCAGCCAAGCAAATCTACGTAAAAAACATTTTTTCTCCACTACAGACACAGGCTACAGATAACTGCCTACACTGACCATTTTCCCACCTGCTCAGTGGATTCCTTGGAGACACGTTTCTTAGCTGCAGCGCTGACAGATGAGTCAACACATACTGTCAACTACTCCAACCAAGAGACTATATCCACCCTTTTTATAGCATACTGTATATTAAAACCTACACAAAGAGTTTGCACACAATATCTTTGCTGAGAGTCATTCGGTTGCTGAAGGGCCAATCCACAGCCAGCCAAGCAGGCACACACAGCAAATCATCATTGAGGGGGTGCTTTGTTTTGCCAGATATCTTTTGCAATCATTTGTAGTTTCAGACGACTTATGATTACCCATAAAGCTTTGTTCACCATCAGTAAGGAGTCACTAAACTCTTAGGCAAAACAAAGGACAGCTTGCTGATCACAAGGCGTATATATACTGTACATCCATGGTCACACAAATCAGAAGCAGGCTGCTCCTCTCAGTTTAGGTCAAGATCAAAGAACTGTGCAACCTTCAGTAGTTTTCAGTGGCACATCAAGGTCATTTGCAACCCCACACGTCTCTTCTGTAAATAAGAGTCATAGCTTTCACTCATGAAACCGCATGATTGACGTATCCCGGGGTGCACTGGCCTGCTGGATACTCCTTTTCTTACAGAGTGGCTGGATTTACTCTGGATTTTAGACTGCGGCTGACAAACCAGCACAGCCCCCAAACAGGATAACTGCATTCCCATATACTCAAATGACAGCCGCGTGAAATAGAGGGGGGGGGTGGGGGGAGAAAAACCTGAGGAGGTGAACACTTAGTCTATCTGTCATCCATCATGCCAAAGCATGTGATTTGTCATTGCGCCCTGCAGTCAGGCTGATACATGCGGCTACAGAATAATAATTATGTGTAAACCCCACGGTCGAGATGCCGTCATGGGATAATGTGATTGCATTGATTATTTGCTGGAGAGGTAAATAGGTATGATTGCTTATCACTTCGCCTTAGCGACATCTCACATCCGAGAGCGACGCCCATCCAGCCGCAAGCTGCTGGACCATCATCTACACAAATACGCCAACTATATTACATTTTACCCTCTCGTCCATTAGGGCCAGTTTCCGCGCCCTTTAAGTACAATAATCGCAGGCCACATTCCCATGGGCATCCGTGAGAACCAAAGTCAGCGCTGCCATATAGCTTTCAGAGCAGGTCAGTGACAGACACAGGTTGACATGTAGTCAAGAGGTTGACCAACGCTCACCAGCGACGTCTGCACAAATTCTACATCATTTGTAGAAGGAATAAAGAGCGGATCCTTACCGTATCACCAGTCGCAGCGATGTAAGCGCATATATACACATCCGGCGCAGAGAGGAGTCAGGAATAACCTTTTCTGTGCTCTTTTCATACAGTCCCCAAGAACGCTAGATCTCGGATAGAAATAGATCTTCCCAGTCGATAAATAGCTTAATTTCACTGATTGGCGCCTCGACTCCGGCTCCGTAGTTAATTCTCGCTGCAGCAAAAAGAAAAAAAAAAACGACGTGGGCAAACCTGCTGGAAATAAAGCTAAAGCTTGTGTGCTTAGTATCCCGAATCAGCGCTCGCACAGGAGGTATCGCGTCCGTCCAAATGCACTAAGACCAGTGGAGTGCTGGAGGAGGACAGAGGAGTATCTCTCTATCCGTCTGTCTGTATCCCTTCTTCCCTCCCTCCCTTTCTCTCTCTTTATCTCTTTTTGGTTGTCTTTATGTTCTTACTGACTTCAGCTGAAGTCCACAGGCGCAGCGGAGCAGAGGACCGTGGTCAACACAGAGAGAAAGAGAGAGAGAGAGAGAGGGGTCAGCAATGACAAACCAATTTGGAGGCGCTGTGGATGCTCGGTGGATCAGAGCGCAGCCCGGCGAGAGGAGCGTTGCGTTGCAGGCGGGCGGGGAGCCGAGGGTGGGTGGAAGGCTGGGGAGGGTGAGAGAGAGAGAGAGATAGAGAGAGAGGGAGAGGGAGAGGGGTGATGATTCCTGCCTGGGGGATGCAGAGAGAGGAAGAGGGAGAGATGAAATGGGGTGTCTGGTGGAAAACATGGCACTGGATTTAGCTCCTAAATCTCTGGACCTAGGGCTCCACCTGCCGTGTGAAGGCACACAGGGGTTCCCAAACTTTGACGGTGTATATAGACCACATTAAACACCCACTCTATGTGATTGTCACACAGGAAGCCCAAAACTGAGCGGTGTTTTATTTATTTATTTTATTCTCAGACATGATTTGATGTATGATTGCATAATTGTAGGCTGACTCTGGGTGAATACTGCAATAAGCAGCCTACAGTTGGTACAGTTCCATTCATTAGCCTATCACATCCTCAGCTAAATAAAGAGCAGAAAAAGTGAAACACAGTCCTCCTTCAGGCTGCACCGCGACCTCCCGGAATCCATTAAATGTCTTGTTGTGGTCCCCGGACCCACGTTTGGGCTTTGGAAAGCCGGATATTAAATGTGGACCATTCAGCCTAAAGCGTTTTGCCCGGTAGGGGTCTACTGGGCAAACCTTAAGGTCGTGAACATGACATATATAGCACCAACGAGCTGAAAATGTTATTCGAGGAAATGCCCAATCAGAATTAGGTCTAAACAGGAAAATTATCCTTTTAATTAAAAAAAAAATTGTATTTGAACCCAGACCAGATGCGTAATTAATAAATAAAGAAATACTTAATAAAAATGTGTACCATCTTTCTACCAACTTTTGTAGCTCTAGTAGGTATTTTGATTTCAGTCTTGGGCTACTATTAGGCCAATATTTAATAACACATTTCTATGATATTCTCACGTTCTTTCTTTTTTTCATTTTTAACACAATAATTTTCTCATTAGGTTAGTATTGAGGACAACGAGTTTGGAGTTTAGCCTACTTGACAATAATATCCATAAGAATTGTTTGCAGAGTGCCCCAGTGAAATACATTACAGGATTACTGTAGACTAGTTCTTTTTCATTAGGGATGAGCCCTCTGTGCCTGAAGATCAGAGGGTGACATGCGCACTGCACGGAGCGCACAAAAGCCGCGGACACAATGCTGGAAAATAAAGCGCTCAGCTTGCTTCTTGATATCGTGCCGTCTCTCAATAAGCTGTTATGACTTGTCCCATCAGGAAAGTGTCATTCTTGGTATTCGGTTCAGGCAAATCTGCCCTGCGGACTGGTGGAGGTGGAGGACGTGCTGTGCTTGGAACTCAGTGGGGACCTGTTGATAGCCCACCGGCGATGCAATGGAGGTGAGATGAGGCTTTCTGCAACAAGCGTTTCTGGACTGCATGGTGTCCGTCTGTTCGTCACAGCGATAGGTCTAATGTGCCCCGGTCATTTTTAAAGACAGATTAATTGATTGTTTTATAGATTACATATCAAATTAGATGCTAAGGAGCCTGCATAATTACTGTAAATCAGTCATCTGATTTTTTTTTTTCTATTTCGAAGCAGTAAGCATGGCGTTACTATCAACAGGTATAAGATAAAGATTTCATTAGGCTACCGTGAAGGGCATATAAGTGCTGCGATACCCATCGTGCCTATCAATGGCCTCTAATTAGATTTCAGATGAGACGTTGTCATTTCCAGCCCATCGTTTTGCAAATCAAATCATGTCATTGGTATCGTGTTTTGAAGCAATACAGGCTCCCCCTCAAGTCAGAATGGTCGGGAGGCCATGTGTCGCTGTTAATTACCATCACTGGCTGATAAAGCCTTTTGGAGAAGATTTAAATCCTGCTAAAGAGCATTAAGGCGCTTGCAAACAAGCATGGCACAGGCCCTGGAAGTGAGGATGTCGAGGTACAATGAGACATGCTGCTGAACAGGTGTAAGATAAATATAAGGAGAGGAAGACTGATTAGTTTGGGGGGGGGGGGGGGNNNNGGGGGGGGGGTTCCCGCCATAATTGTAATAAAGTGTATGAACAGTGGAAATGTCTTCAAGGTGAAACCTCACCTTGACACTTGTAGTCTACAAACACACTGTCATCCTTCACAAATACACTGTCACCAGAACGTAAACAGACTGTCTGTATCAGGTCTTGCTGAAGCACAAACCCTTTTGTATTTTGTTGTTATTCGCGTTGCAGGTGCCAAACAGAGAAGAATGACATCTAACTAAGGCAGAGAGTCACAAAGCAGCAATTCATCTGAGCAACCTGTCAGGCGGCGATGGAAATCATGGGTAAGTGCGTTCAGTGGCTTGCAAATGTAAGGAGCTGTTTAAAGCCAACCATGTTCCAATAACCTCAGTTAGACTCCCCTCCACAGCCATCATCAGAGGCTTACAATTAAGGTGTCAGGCATGGCTGCAACAGCCAGGGAGGAAGGAATACTTACATGTGCAGGTGGCAAAGGACTCACGGTCTGGTCGGTAGTCAAAACTTTGTGGTGAAGAGTTTACAGGGTCTTAACCTTCTGCCACATACAATTACTGCAATTGTGGCTTCTGCTCATTAGCTGCTGCTCCTCTAAATAAACAAGGGCAATATGACCTGACACCAGGCTTCAGGTTTTTTTTGTTTTTTGTTTTTTTTTTTTGCTTTTGCTTTTGCTTTTTAGTGCTTTTTTTTTAGTGAAAGTGTGATTAAATTCTTTAAAGCCGTCTTGTAAAAGGAACATTATTTTTCACTTGCTGGCCACAGGTGAATCAAAATTTTGATTTTGGAAACTTAATAACTTTGCCAGAAAATTGAGAAGAGAGGAATGTGATAGTATTTTTTTTTTTTTCTTTAAACTGAAATTGAAAGAACTCACACTCAGGGTTCAGGGTTATCTTTTCAGACAAGCACAGCTCACGGCAACTCAATCCTCCAAAACACAGTTGTTTTCAATAGCTGACACATTGTGGATCAGCGCTGACAGAAGCAGCGATTTTGGATTGGAACACAGATGTTGTATTTTAACAAAGTCATTTTGCAGATCTGGGGAAAACTCATTTATTTTCGCACCAGTACCTGTTAAGTGTTGACATTTCTTAGCTTATTATGAAAGCCTCTGGTTTGTGTCATGGTCGCCCAGGAGCTGCTGCAACATGCGGAAAACTTTAACGCAAAGCCAAATGGGAGAAATCCTGTTACTGTATGACATGAATGATATACAATTTCTCTGCAGATACTCAGTGTGCCTTGGAGGCTGTGGAGAGACTGCAAGCCAAACTGAAGGAGAGAGGGGAGGCCCCCACACAGGAGAAACTCTCCCTGCTAAAGACTGTCCTGCAGAGCCCCCTGTTCCATCATATACTCAGCTTACAGCAAGCTCAGCGGAAGCCCGTGGCGAAGGTACAGCGCGAGCATGACTGTGTAGGTGTTTGGTGTATATTGAATGGTGGGGAAGGAGCCGGAATCATTCCTAAAATACTGAATGCAAGAACCAAACTGGATGAGTAATCAGCTTACCTAAGCTTACCACTAAAGCCCTGAGAAAAGAGAGAGAGCAAGGGAGAGCGAGAGAGGGGAAGGAAGAAGTGGCTATATATCATGTTGAGGAGTTTACAGAAGTCATCTGTAACATTGTCATAAGTCTTGAGCTGGTGTGTGTGTGTGTGTGTGTGTGTGTGGTGTGTGTGTGTGTGTGTGTGTGTGTGTGTGTGTGTGTGTGTGGGATGTGGTTCTGGTGATAGCTGATATACCAGTGCATCTTGGAACAATATTTATTCACACACATCTTCTGACCCATAGCCCAAATATATATATATANAACTAATAAAAACCTGTGTCAGTGTCTGTCCTGATAAAAATCCAGAAACCTTTGACACAATCCAGTGCCACATTTCCTGTAGTGCAGAGATGCTAAACGGCTACAGGCTTACGCCACATTGCTAATGTAGTAACGCATGTGTGTGGAGACTGTGGGGCTTATGGGGTTAGCCTATTACAACAAACATCAGCAGGCAATTACCAAGCCATGATGCTTAACACTGACTCACTATATATATATATATATATATATATAGTGAGTCAGTGTTAAGCATCATGGCTTGGTAATTGCCTGCTGATGTTTGTTGTAATAGGCTAACCCCATAAGCCCCACAGTCTCCACACACATGCGTTACTACATTAGCAATGTGGCGTAAGCCTGTAGCCGTTTAGCATCTCTGCACTACAGGAAATGTGGCACTGGATTGTGTCAAAGGTTTCTGGATTTTTATCAGGACAGACACTGACACAGGTTTTTATTAGTTCAAGTTCCTCTGTAAGTTCTCTTACAGTATTAGTAACCTAAGTGCATATGATGTGAAGTTGCCCATTAGTATTTTGATAGTGTTTCATCTTTTATTCTACTACTGCTGATTCGACAGGTGTCAAAGTCGTTAAGGTGGAATAGCAATCAGATCAGAAATAAGCATCTACTCAAACTCCTTTTCAAAATTTGAAACAGAGAACCTGAAAGACAAAAGGGATCAGTGTTGTGGTTATGTGGTATTGAGCAGAAGCCTTTATCTGAGATCCTCGTGTTCCTGCTCTTTTATCTTTTCCCTCTCTGCTCCATTTTAAACCTATTTTTCTATATATATTTTTTTTCTTTTGGCTAACACACATTAACCCTCCCTCCCTGCTCTCTATCCCACATCTTTCTTCATTGTCTCACAACGCTCTCCTTTCCCATCTCCTTTATCCTTTCCATTTCCCTCCATCACTCCCTCACCCTCATCCCTTTCCTCTCTGTCTCCATATCTCCTCTCTTCAATTAATGTCTCCACCTCTGTATCAACCCCCTTCCCCATCTCTTTATCTCTGCCATCCATTTTCCTAACAATCTTTCTTTCTCCCTTCCCTTGCATCCTTCAATCCTTCTCCAATTCATCTATTCGCTCTCTGTCCAACCCCATCCATCTCTCCCACTTCCATCCCCTCCATTTTTACACTTTTTATCCTCTTCTTCTCATCTCTCCATGTGTTGTATCTGTTCCTCCTTTACCCTACCAGGGGAAGGCCATTTCCAAATCTGTGTCCATGAACTGTGGACCGTGCCAGGGCATGGCGGTGGGGCTGAAGACGCTGAGCCACAGTGACTCCTACACATGGGCCGTGGAGAACCGAAGGCCCAGCACTGCCAGATCCTTCCACAGGGAAGGCAGCATCTCCTCTCTAGGCTCACAGGATCTGTCCTTCTCAGACATTTACCCAGGCAACTGCATTCCCACCGAATCACAGGTATTTAAAATAGCCATCATAAAAGAAAGATAATTTAAGGGGAAGACGTTAGTTATAGGGCAATGTATTTTTAAAGCACTCAGTTCTTGAGCTAAGCAAATAATTTTTTTTCTTTCAATTGTAAAATATAACACATTACCATTCGAAATGTCACATTTTATATTTGAGAATATTATATTACTTTATAAATCTCAGGCACAGCTGGATATCACATCATCTGAGGGTTTCAGCTGGTCATAAGAGGCTGCTCAGCTAACTCAATGTCATTTAAGGGTTGCTTTTATTTTACGCATGACATTTATTTTTTAGTACTGCACTCCCCCTCGAATCTCCCGCACCATGTCGATGGGGAGAAACCTGTCTGCTATTGCTCATGAGGTACATTGATGTTGCAAGTGAGGTGTTACTGTAGAGCTAAGTGTGTCTCTGTGGATGTAGATAAACAAGGGTATCAAGCACATTCAGCTTCAGCTGTTTCACTTTATTTTTACCAGTCTAATTAGAATAGATTTTTCCTCCCTCCCTCCCCCCTCTTCTCTCTCTCCCTTTTCTTCTAACCTCTGCCACATTAGAGGCGTCATGTGGAGATGATTGAGCTGACCAATGATGGTAAGGGGCTTGGCTTTGGCATCATAGGAGGGCGGAACACAGGAGTCATGGTCAAGACCATCCTTCCTGGAGGAGCTGCCGGCCGGGTAAATCCGCCTGCCAATCTATCAAAGGAATAGTTTTGTTTTTTAGACATTTTGTGAAATATGGTTTTTCAATCTCTTATAATATCAATACCACTGACATGTTTGTCTGTTAATTATGAAGCTACAGCCAGGCATTTGTTAGCTTAGAAACTGGAAATGGGGTAACACCTCGCCTGGTTGTGTCCATCAGTAAGAAAAAAAACTCCAACCAGCACCTTTAAAGGAGCTATTTGTAACTGTTGCTATGGCTACATAGCCAACGTTGGCATCAGCAGCTGTCTATTTACCAGTCTAGAAGAAACAATGTGAGTTCAGTATCAAACTTTTTTTTTTTTTTTTCAAAATTAATTTTCCAAGAGCTGTCTCCAGCAGTGGAAAACAACCCTCTTGTTTTGTTGCTATTTCTATCACTTCTTTTCTTCCACTGAAGTTAGCATGCTAACCAGCTAGCCCTGGTCCAGTCGAACTGTCTCATTACTTTTGTGTCACTGTAGCATCCCATCTGCCTTGAAGAAGTAGCTCTGCTGAGAGGGCGTATTATAACCTCCTGTAAATGTATCAATTACTGAGGTAAACAGCTGTCAATACTAACGTTGGCCATGTAGCAATAGCAAAATAAATAGCTCCTTTAAAGCTCACAAATTAACACTTTATGACTTATATATGTTTTCCAAATTGTCAAACTACTATCTTTACTATCTTTAATGAATGAAATCTCAGAACAAACACTGTACTGAAATGTTGTATTGAAGTGAAACATGTTGAGTAGAATATGCAGAATGTATTAAATATTTCCATTACGATCAACTTCTGAATGTTTTTGTTGTAATGGGGCTCCCCAGGATAAGCGCCTGAGTAGTGGAGACCAGATCCTGCGCATCGGAGATACAGATCTGGCGGGCATGAACAGCGAGCAGGTGGCACAGGTGAGGCGTCATTTCCAGAAACTCTAGAAAAGCTGAGGATGAGTTGAATTGCTTTTTTCACTATAAATCTATTTCTGCAATGATAAAGCTTTATTTAATATATGATAAGATAAATCTGACCTAGCAGTGTGGCCCAGTCCCTGTGTGTATCTATTGGTAGCCCCATTTTGGACTTTTCCATCCACTTTATGGAAGACAGTTCTAGATGGGTCCATACAAAAGCTCAGGAGAGTGTGCTGCTGTAGGAAAATTAACCAGACATATAGTCGCCACAAGTCAGTTAAGCTCTCTCTCTGAAGTCTTTTATTTTTTTTAAACTTTTGTAAGACCAAAACAAAAAAACAATGTTTAAGAACACCTTCACACCCCCACTTCTGTTAAAGAGCAGCGCAGAGCAGCATCTTTTTCCATGGAGAGAGCAGCTCTGAACAGGTCTAATCCACTGTATGCCATGCTGCCTTTCCAGGGCAGCTGTCTCTTTTTCATTCAGAGTCAGATTTTTCATTTTATGTTTTTTTTTTTTTTTCACACACTCACTTTTCACCCTTTCACAAATGACCACCTGGCCCAGGTGCTGCGAAATGCTGGTAGCAAGGTGAAACTGCTCATTGCCAGGGATATTACCAAGGACAACCACCTTTCCTCTCCTGTGCTCAGCCAGGACAGCTTGGATGGCAAGGTGTGTGTGTGTGTGTGTGTGTTTGTGTGTGTGTGTGTGTGTGTGTGTGTGTGTGTGTGTGTGTGTGTGTGTGTGTGTGTGTGTGTGTGTGTGTGTGTGTCTGTGTCTGTGTGTGTCTGTGTGTCTGTGTTAGTGTGTGCATGTGTACAGAATCACATAATTGGCTAATCAGTTACATTGAATGTGTCATACGGTAGTCTTTAAACCCAAAAAATAAGCATAAGATTTTTCTGTCTGTGCTCCTTTCCAGCTCAATGACTTGAATGATGACTATGAGTTCAGTGTGCAGTTCACTAAAAACAGCCGGGGCCTGGGATTCACCATTGCTAGCTACATAGGTGACCTAAACTCAGGTAATAATATCTACTAAGTTTTAACTTGTGAAAAATTAGCCAATTATCAGTACTCCCAGCGAAGTTGATGGAAGCAAATTGAGGAAATAATACAATTATAAAGAATACCTCCTTAATGGAAGTCATTATTGATGATGTGTGAGTTTAGAGCTACATTTACATAATCAATGCTAATTTTCCTTTAATTTATCTTGCCCTCCTCAGTCTACAGTGCCGGTGTGATAGTGAAGAGCATAGTGAAAGGCAGCACTGTTGATCAAGATGGACGCATCCACATTGGAGACATCATACTATCTGTGAGTTCCACTAAAAACATAGCAGATAGCTTTTTTATTGTGCTCTCTGAAGACAAATACCCTGTTGTCTGAAATGTATTCTCTGCTGAACCTTAACGATTTCAGCATCTCGAAATCTGCACAGTTTGCAACTTTCAGTAGTTCCATACACACCAATTAGGGTCTTTTTTAGCTGATGAAGGGGAATTCTTCTAGTTTTACTTTTACTCCCATCCATCTCTTCATCATCTCTTGTTTTTGCCTATTCTTTCCATCTCTCTCTGTTTTTATTTTTGATTACTATTGATTTCTTTTTGCGTTTTCCCATTTAATTCACCCTCACATGTCGTGCCTCCATGCAATCCTCTCCATCCTGGAACACTTTGCCTCTGTCTGCATCATACCTTCGCCTTCATCCTGGCTATTTTCCCTACTCCCAGCTTTAACATCTCTCGCCCCCTCCCACAGGTGGATGGGGTGAGCCTGCAGGGCTGCAGTGAGCAGAGGGCAATGGAGGTGCTGCGTAGGACAGGTCCCCTGGTCAGACTGAGGTTGCTGAGGAAGGCCGTCCGTCTGAGCCACATCCTGCCCCCGGTTCCTCCCCTGCAGCCCCTCCGACACTCCCACAGCTTCCACGAGGGCAATCCCTACAGAGCGGGCCTCAACAAGATCCAAGAGACAGGTGCTTTGTGTTGAGAGAGGGGAACATATTGGCTCAGTTGTATCATGAGCGGATTGGTTTTGAAGTAACTGAAAGTAACTGAGTTGATTTGTCTGCACGAATAAAATCTGACAAGTTCCAATATCTGGACTAAGCATATTTTGGTGCTTCTTTGGGCTGTTGCTGAACTTTTGCGACCTCTTCCATGTCGTTAGCTCTCGAATGCTCACTGTGGAAGTGTACACGTCTTCTTTTCAACTCAAGTGTGTTTGAATCCCTGCATGTATGCTAAAGTGTCTTTTCCTGTCTCAGGAATCTGCTCTCTGCGTGAAATCTCCCGGCGAGCAGCATACGCCAGCAGACGACCCCGACATGATTCCAGAAACGGTAAGTACCCTTTTCCCATACTGCACTGCAGTCTGGAACTGGATCATGGGACTTAGTCTGATATGCTAATTGGGCTCTGGGAGCAGCAATGTGGCAGCGAAGCATGCTCTTTGATGGGAGTCTATTTATAGTGTTGTGCAGTCATGTGTTTATCCAACTCATTCAACTCATTCCAGATGATTTGTCTCTCACCCCGCCTGCATAGATGGCTTTATTTAGAGAAGGATTTTTGGGCTTGATTGGCGAGGACAGTCAAATAAGCCCTGATTGCTGTGAGGCTTTAATAGATGAACGAGAAAACATTAGTTTGCCAAAAATTCATAAGATGGTGGGTGTGAATATGCATGCCCGTGCGCCTGTAGTGTGTGTGTGTGTGACTGTCTGAGTGGTTGTGTGTTGACATGCTGCTTTGGCACAAGGAGAAACATGTTGTCTTCTCTCTATAAAACAGCCGAGGCGATGCTTTCATCACCTCAGGATCCTCTTCTTTATTGACTGGATCATTTAGGGCATCGGTACAATATGAATTAGGATGTGTGTTGCATTATCTGAATGTGGGAAATGAGGGTGGTTGTCTTTGTATGTGTGCACATTTCACAGGTGTGACGCTGACGCCAGCTGAGGAGGAGGACCTGAGGAGGAGGTGGCAGCATGCGGTTGGACCCAGATATGAAGTCATTGTACGTCTCTCTGTAATGAAGATAAGCATTAAATATAAAACACAATCAAAATATATTAGCATTGTATGTATGTATATACCTCATCTTATTTCACCCTGCGCAACATTACATTTTATTGCCCATTTAAGATAGAAAACCAGATTTGACAGTATGAAGTTCACTCCACACCCTTTGCATCTCTTCCACTGATTCCCACCACTCAACTTCCACATCGCTCTTTTAGGTGTGTCAGCTGGAGCGTTTCAGCGAGACGAGCGGTCTGGGCATCAGTCTGGAGGCTCGGGCGGGACATCATTACCTATGCTCCATCTTACCTGAGGGGCCCATCGGCCAAAGCGACAAGATCCTCACCGGAGACCAGATATTGGAGGTAACCGTCTGATGCTGATCCTTTCAGCCAACTGCTCTGCCTCTCATCCTTTCGCTGTTTGATGAAGATATGATCTGAGGTGGGCTGATTATTTCGCCACATCTGTGGGACACAAATGGATGACTAATGAGAAGGTTCCCTCATGGTTTATCTCTGGTTCACAGTGCCTTATTTTCTCTCATGTTTCCAGCTTTCATTCAAGCGGTTAGCAGTAATAGCCTGTTCTTTTAAGCGTTCTCAGAACCGCCACCTGGAGTGGGTGGGATATTGTTTTTTGAATACCTACACATATATCTGATTAATGATAATAAGACAACAAACCTCTTTTTTTTTTCTTTTTTTTTACTTATACCATAGCAGCATAGTTTTGTGCTCTTTTCAACACACACAATGTCAAGCGCACTGTGCAACTTTTTCCCGTAAGGCAGCAAAAGCCAGTTATAACAAGGTGGGTGTGAATGTGTGTGCCTCTGTGCATTTGTGCCTGTACTGTAGGGGGAGAGCTTGCCCTCCTCCCCCTCCACTGGGCAAGTTCACGCACCCACACGTATCACTCATCATGATGAGCAGTCTCATGAAAGCTTGGACAATCTACAGTAGCTTAAATTATATATATACATATATGTCATGTAGAAAACGCTGCACACTGGCTCGTGTCTTCCCTGCCTTTTTGAGCCAATATGATTGTGACTGGTCAGCCCTTTGATTTCCTTCAGACGACATCAGGGTGGCAAAGCCCATGTTCGTCTACGTTTTTAAACGAGCCACACTCGGTTTAGTTACCGCTTTCTGCTTTAATTGTTCTTGCTGTGATTTGATGTACTGTGGCCACTAATTGCTCCTCAGTTCCTGAAACTGAAATATCACTAAAAATGTCAAATTTAAGGACTGTGTTGTAGATTTCTGTAATTGTACACACAGACACAGTGACAGTTTGAGACAGACACAAACCTACAATAATATAACCAAAACAACACCAAGGGGTTGTATTTCTACAAAGGCTACAAGCATGACTCAGCCAATCTCTTTCTGTATTTCTATATTTCTATATGTATAATTTATCTTCCTGGCAGGTGAATGGCATCCCTCTCATTGGAGAGACGCATAAGGAGGTGGTCAATATTCTTAAGGAGCTGCCGATGCATGTGTGCCTGGTGTGCTCTCGCATCGTACCCCCTTCAGTTCCTGACAGTGATGAAGAAGATGATGATGATGTCCATCTCACCCTGAAAGAACTGCTGGCTGAGTTCAATGACAAGGTGCAAGCACACACTGAAGAAAGGATGAATGGAGGGATTAAGTATTAGTGTCTAAATCCTTTTGCTTAAGACAATATAAACAACACTACAGGTTTTATACATTTCAGGTTGAAATGACACTCTAAGATTCACCTGACATGCTGTTCTTTTCTTATCAATCTCCTTGTCTGCGCCTTCTCTCTTCATTGCGCTTGTCCCAGTTGGATCAGGGCTGTGTCATTCCCTGTCCTACAGCTGAGGACATCACCAAGCGTGGCGTGCCCCCCATGTCACCTCCTCTGGCCATGTGGGAGAGAGAGGCTCAGGTGGTTGAGCTGGAGAAAGGCGAGTCGGGACTGGGCTTCAGTATCCTGGACTACCAGGTCAGAGACATGCCCCTGAGCCCTTCTACAAATAGAACAGACTGGAATAGGCTGCAGTCTAAGAATATCAGTGTCGGGCTGGATAGAGTGAACAGAGGTGGACTTCTGTATTCTACAGGGAGAATTCTTGTATTCTGTATACAGTATTTATAAACTAAACTGACTGAAAAGTGTGCTGACAGTTTCTGTTTAAAATTTTAGATTAAAAACACGCCCGAGTTTAGCAAAAATCTGTGCTAAAGTTTTCCAGCCATGTTAAGAAATAATAGTTTTATTACAGCAGGTTTTCCCTCTTTCAGATCACGCAGTCCATTTTCTTTTCTTATTAATAAGTCTCTTTTATCCTGTTGTTTACCTGCATTCATCTCTTCTTTGAATTCATGTATCTCATTTCTCTCAAATTTTCCAACTAAACCCTCCTCTCCATTCTAATGTTTAACTCTACAGGATCCAGAAGATGCCACTAAAACAGTTCTGGTAATCCGGTCCTTGGTGCCTGGAGGTGTAGCAGATCGAGATGGTCGCCTGCTGCCTGGTGACCGACTCATGTTCGTTAATGAAACTGAGCTGGAAGGCTCCAGCCTGGATTATGCTGTGCACGTCCTCAAATCCACCGGCTATGGACTTGTCCGCATTGGTGTTGCCAAACCCCTGCCGGTATGTGAAGATGATTAAATTACTACTATTTGATTTGATATCTGTCAGTAGAGGGACATGAGGGGAGAGATGGGGAATGACATAAAATAAAGGTCCCTGGCTAGACTTGAACTGGGGACACTGCAGCTCACAGACTACCAGCACAAACCAAGATTTAATTGTATGAGAAGTTTATTTCAATATTTGTTTAAGACACGTGAGTAAATTTTAGTTCAATATTTGAGACATAAAACTAAATGTAAATTAGGAGTGGGACAATCTTCTATTGTGGTATATGTACTTTTATGCTATATGCATAATCCGTTGATTTTTTTAATGATGAAATAACCAGACAAATGTGTACTTTTCGCTAATCCAGAAAATGAAATAAATGGTAAATGGTTGTAGGTTTCATACATTTTGCAAATCCAAAAGTTGCTTTTTGTGACTTCATGAAATCCTCATCAAACTAACATTTTATAATTAAAAACATGATTAATATTATATCCACAGTTCTACAAGATAATTACATAAATGTGTTTTTTTCTTTAGCGCACTCACTGTATTTCTTCTCCCTTTTGTTTTGGACTGTGGCTTAGTAACAAGGAAAAGAGAATCCAGTTACAGGCCGTCTGAATTTTTAATGCAGCTGAGAGATGAACACAATGCTCGACCACAGTACAGATGGAGAGAGAAGGGGAGAGGAGTAGAGGGTGTCTAATTTACAGTCACCTTCTTTAGCCTGTTTGCTCCCATGTGAATTTGCTCAACTTTGAAACACACAGCGTTTTTTTTTTTTTTTTTTTCCAAACTCTGTAATTTCAACTTTGACATTTTTATACCCTCAGCTGGAACTGTGCGGCGGCTTAACGCCCATCTCAGAGAGGAGCACGCGGGCTTCCTGCGATGACACCGACAGCCACACTCAGGTCAGCCTGCTAGCTGAGGCAGCCGAGGCTAGCAACACTTTCAACTCTGAGGACAACAGCGTCATCCAGCCGTATTACACAACAACGGTATGTCAGACAACACAACATTAGCATCAGTCACAAAAAACTATTTGTATCACTGGACAGTTCTTTGGACACACTTTCTGCTCACTTTCTTTGCCCTTTACTCTCCTGTGGTGCACAGGGGGACTAAAGGGCAACGTTTGTTTCTTACAGTTGGCCTGACAAACACATCAACAGCAGAATTTGTGCTATACTGTCGCATTGTAAAACCATGCATAAAAGTCAGTTTATTGTATTTTTTTACAGCAGCAGTTTTATGTGCTTACTGGGAATATAGATTTATAGATAAATAGAATTGTCATAATTGTCAAAATGTCCAAAATGTGTAACAGTATGTTGGATAATCATGCGCAACCATATAACAGGATTTTTGTTGTTGAGTGTTTTGTGATGCTTTAGGCTCAGCTGGAAAAAATTTTTGCAGGGACAGTTACAATAACACTGCAACACTTTGAATCTCGTAGTCCATTGCTCATTACCATGCAAACCCGAGATTCTGTGGGTAGCCATTTTAACTGCTCCAAAGGAGATTACCATGATGGTGTGTGTTCTCTCTGTTCACGTTCTATAATGGGGAGCTTAGAGTCGGCTGTATCAGTATCACTGGGTCAGGTATAGAGAAAGTGCTCAGTGTCAGAGACGTGTTCCTCCATTGTGGCCTCAACTCAATCCTATTGAGGCAGCCTTTTGTACTCGCTTTTGCTTAATTACCAACAATTGCCTCTCAATGAAAAGTGCTTACTGCTTGCACGGCACAGCACTGGCACCTGGTCTAACACAAGGACACGCAATTTTGCCACACTGTCTCTCACACGTACACACACACACACACACACACACACAAAGAGACTCAGAGCAGCAAGTGTCAGAGTGTTCTCATCAAAGACAGGCTTGTTGCAAAGGTAGCTTCAGAAATTCAGTGCTGCTTGTACTTTCTGTGAAGGTTCAAAGAAGATTTCCTTGTTGCCCTTCTTCTTTGTGAAGTGCCCGGGGGACCAAGGAAGTCTACCCTTCTGCATGTTTTACATCTCAGAATTATTCCAAAAGGTCTCCATCCTGGGAGTTAATCGTTGTTTGATTTTCTTCTTCTTTTTTTTTTGTCATACCAGATAGTTTTTTAAAACTTTATGACTTCTATGTCATGTGTACCAAAGCCTATGAGGTGTGAAATCTGCAGTTGTCCATCATTATTGCTGCTCCTACATAGCCCTATTTATTTTGTTTACAAGACACCACCCTTGACTTTTTAACAATGCTAGCATCTATAGGGATGGCAATGTCAGTCAGTGGGTTGGTTGGTCCAGCACTTTGGTCCAGACTGAAATATCTCAACAAACACTGGATGAACTGCCATCAGTTCTTGTGCAAACATTCACGGTCAACAAAGAATGACTCCTACTGACTTCGGTTGATCCTCTGACTTTTCCTCTAGTGCCACCATGAGGTTAACATTTGTGGTTCAGAGTGAAATATCTTATCATGAAAAATTCTGCAGATTTTTAAGGTCTAGAGAATAAATTCTCATATCTTTTCAAAGTCAAAGTTTTCACTTAATCAGTCAAATATAATATATTAATAATATCTACTCAATAGATTGGCACTAAATCGAGCATAGGCATTTGTGGTCCCCAGGGGATGAATTGTAATAATTAATCTCCTGGCCTTGCTGTTAGCGCCATTGTCAGGTCAAACTTGACGTTTGTCCAGTGCTTTGGTTTCTGACCTATTGGCCTCATCCTCACTTTTGTCTTTACTGCTGATTAGCACGTTCACATGTTAGCATGCTAAACTAAGATGGTGAACATGCTAAGTGTAATATCTGCTAAACATCAACACCACTGTGCCTAAGTATGGCCTCACATAGATATACTCTTGTTTGATGTATTTGTTACTCCACCTCCATGCTCATACTCACCCATGCCCTCTATTGTCTCTCTCTTAGGAAAGCCAGCTGCGTAATCGCTTCAGCATCATGGAAGACGACGATAGGCAGCAAGTCCCGCCTCCACCTCCACGCACCAGCTTTGAGAGGACAATCACTGTTGTCCGGGGTAACCGTAGCCTTGGTATGTTCTCCGTCTTTCTCATGGTGATGATGTCTTGGTGTGTGTACGTCGCTGGCATGGCAATAATCACGCTAATAGGCGGTGGTGATGACGACTGCCCTGAAGAAGAGTGGTGAAGGGGTGTGCTCCTCATACTTGAGAGAGGAGATGATCACTGTGTGTGTCTGTGTGCGTGTGTGTGTGTGCGTGTGTGAATGTGTGTGTGTGTGTGTGTGTGTGTGTGTGTGTGTGTGTGTGTGTGTGTGTGTGCGTGTGTGTGTGTGTGTGTGTGTGTGTGTGTGTGTGTGTGTGTGTGTGTGTGTGTGTGTGTGTGTGTGTGTGTGTGTGTGTGTGTGCGTGCATGTGTGAATGTGTGTGCTGGTAAAGGAGGGACTAGTAAGGGAGTGCATCAATGATCAAATGTGAAAATAATATAAATAAGCAATATTGAAACCCATGAGTATTAAATTTGAATGTTGATCAATCTAATACTCCAATGTACTTGACAGTACTTTGTCTTAACTGCTCCGATATTAAGTCCAGTGTTTGGCTACTCAGACATGACAGGGAGCAAATAACAAGGTGTAGCGGAGGGCACTCCTGCACTTTCATCTAAGGGCACTATGCAAAACATAATGAAACAAACTCATTTACATTCCGGAAACATGCTCTAATAAGGCATCACACTGCTTGTGTGTGTGCGCGTGTGAGTGTGTGTGTGAAAGTTTGAAATGATGTACATTTTTATAGATAGAGGAAATTCAAGGTCATAACCAACAGTCTGTGTGTCACTGCATTCTTTGGTTTTCATTTGTTTTAAATATTGTAGCTTGTATTGCTGAGATATTAATGTAGCATAGTTTTCTGGAAATCCAAATGTGGAGGGTTTACAGATTTTATGTGATTTTGGTTTTGTAAATTTAAATATACTTGAAGCAAAAGTTTCAAAATGGGCAGAGTTACCATCTGTATCTGTAAGGCTTAAATATGGGGGATTTTTTAATGAGCAATAGTATTGTAGTACAATATTTATTTGTACTACTTTACCTTCTTCCAATGATTAGGTGCCATGTACAATTCTATCTATTACATAACTATGACTTTATGCCCATTTTTGGAGATGAGACATGTACTGTATGTGCAGTGAATGGTTGGTTTGTATTACAATGACTGTATGGCTTTTAGAGCAGGTTGTCAAAGGAAAAGGTTTGATAGACTCAAATGAGGTCTTTTTCTCTTGCCTTGCTCGTCAATACCACGAATATATAAACAGCCTAATTAGAAGTCTTTGCTTGTTCTTGAATGGTGTGAACCTGTTGCACTTAAGTTTATAGTATACTAAAGATGTTTTGTTGAGGTCAAAACAAATAGATTTTCATATAGAAATTTCCATGTTGGGAATTGACCATAAATTATTTAAACGTTTTTGCAACAGATGTAATGGTGTGTCATAGTATTTCAACACATTTGGATTGATTTGAATGAGACATTCAACATAATCCTCTCTTGTCTTTGAAATGTGTGTCTTCTGTTTGTCCTGTCAGTAGCTGTGTCTCCAGTTGATTGTATTCCAGGCACTATGATTGTATTGTAATTTGAATGTAATACCAAAAAACAATAAACTATTTATTTGATCAAAAAATAAGCACAAAGTCATTTCTTTGACCAACTTCAAATTATGTACGACCATAGTGTTGTGGATGTGCGTAGTTGTTAGACAGCAGCGTAGTACGCAGGCACCATAGGCCAGACTACACACATTAGCCTTCCCTCTCTGCAGTGTGTGTATGTGTGTGCATGAGGTGTGCGTGTGATGCTTGATTTACCTGCTTCTGCCTGTTTGCGTTAATGAAGTGTTTGTGTAATCCGCCTAACATCCAATTTGATAAAGCCAAAGTCAGGTGTTTGTACGACTGGCATGTGTTACCCTTCTAGTCACCTGTGCCCTGTGCCCTCTGTGGGTGTGAGTGTGTGTGATTCTGTGTATGTGTGTGTGTGTGTGCGCACCTTATGTGAGTGTGACTGTGAGGGATGATGCTGTGTAAATGTCAAGCATGTGTAGCCATGTTTGTGTGCTAATCTGCCTAGTGTCTGTCTTGATTATGCTGATTATGCCACTGTCAGGTGTTTGTTTGGGCGACTGTGTGTCTGTCTGGCATGGATTCAAAGCAGCCTTAGCCAACCCTCCACTCACCTGTGCTTGTGTGTGTGTGTGTGTGTGTTTGTGTGTGTGTGTGTGTGTGTGTGTGTACACGTGTGCGTGTTGGCAGGGATGTCGGTGAGTGCAATCAAGGACGGCTCAGGCATGCTGGTGCGCAGTGTGGTCCAGGGGGGCTCTGTTAGCCAGGATGGCAGGCTAGGGGTGGGGGACGCCATCTTGGCCATCAACGGAGAACCTACCTCCAACCTGACCAACGCCAAGGCCAGGGCCTTGCTTCGCAGACACTCTGTCATAGGGCCAGAAATGAGGTGAGGAGCCAGTCACTGTCCAACAGCATTACAAAATGTAGAGAGTCTTGTTCTGCACTGAAAAAGGAACGTGCTCCTTACTGTTACATCATGGTGTAGGTTGCTCACGATAGCTCTTAAGGGTATTTTAAAGTTTTCTCACTCCACATCATTGAAATCCCTCTGGATCACCTGTTCTCAGTGATCCTCAATCTGAATCTAAAAGCACTGGGTGGCTGGATGTGCAGCACTGTGTGCGTCATCCTCTTGACTGTTGCTCAAGTGCTGCTTGAAACTTCACATTTTTAATTGTTGTAGACCTTTGGCTCCGATGCACAACATGTCATCATCATCTAGTACAGTTACAGCAGTACATGTAATTATGACAGTGGCAGGACAGAAGATGGTTTGTTTTTTTGGTTTTGTTTTATGCTTTTTTGTTTTGTTTTTTAGCGACCAAAAAAAAAAAAAATGTTAACAGAATTATTCTACGTAGTTTTTATTGTATGCAGTGATGCTACTAGATGTGATGTTACTATCAGAATATCTGTGAAAAAGGAAAGGACCCTGCACATCCCCACGGGTGTTTTCACTTATTCTTCCTCATTAGACCTCTGCACAGGTTGAAGTTGGATTTACATAAGGTGACCAAACTGCTCTAACTGATAAGAATAATACAGGTGTCACAGAACTCACGGGAGGATCAGGGAGATCAAATCAAGCACACTCTGTACACATCCGCACAGTCCTTAGAAGGAGTCTAATCAGGCATGACTTGTTCAATTGAATGTCTCTTTAATTTGCTTAAGCAAAGCAAACAAAAAATTGGCTTCCAATATAAAACTCTACATCTTTACAAACAAAGCAGTGTCTAAATAATGAATTCAAATTCATTCATTCATAATCGGCCCTATTTTAAATATTTCCCTATATTTCATATTTAGTTCCCCATATTTATTTGTGCCTGTTAAAATTTCCTCTTTGGAGAAGCCAGTCTTGATGCAATATTAAAAAAAAGTATCAATAAGCCATCACAGGAAGTGAACTACTTTCAAAAGCAATTAGAAGAACAGATTTGATTGGCCATGAAGCTTCCTTATACCAACTGGTTATATACTCACTAATAATACCAATAGGGTTTTACAACTCATTTCCAACTGTGTCACAGATGTGCTGCATCCCTGGAGGTAGATATATTGAATTTTATTGATACATTTTTAATATAAAATAACATACTTTTGAAATTATTCTCTTTTATGTATGTAAGCTGCATATAAAACCCAGAACTGCATAATACTCGAACACAACCTGTGGCTACACATGGCTGTACCATTTACCTGCTGTCACTAGGTCCCGCAAACATGAATTGTATAAATTATAATGTAGCTGATATTGTGACGCTAAAATATAACATGCAATTAGTATCCTGACTTGTAAATTCTGGGGTTGCATAAAACTTCTGCACCTGGAAATTGGTTTAGTGGCCGGAGAAGATTGAAAAAACAAGATTCCACTGAGTTCTTTAGCACAGTTATTTATATTACATTCATATACACTTTCCCTCATGTCATAGTTCAAACACGTCTTTCCTTGAGAAAGGAAAAATTCAGAGTTAGTAGTTGAGAGAGAATGTAGAAAGCTCCTCTGGGAATGCAGAGAACAATCAACCACAAGAGGAAAAAAAAGTAATTGAATACTGCTCACATTTTCTAGATCTACCCATGCAGATCTTGACAGTCTGTGTGACTCGAATGAGTGAGTATATGTCCGTCATGAATATAAGCATGTGCCGTCCGCAGTCACAAACATGACTTTTCACTGCATCACCACCTATAAATGATCTTGTCTCACTTTGGATCTCCATTACCACCTTGTTTTTGACGCTTCAGTCGTAGTTGACTGAGGCGCTGCAGTCATGTTAAATTAGATTAGATGATGAAATTTTAAAGATTGCCTGAGGGGAAATTGGGTAAATTATTACTTGTTCTAACATCAGCAGTTATGGCTCCACATTGACAATGCTTGTTTGGCTGACTGGAGCTGTGCCCCACCTCCACCACCCTGCTGCCTTGCAAAACACCACTCACTCTTTTTTTCGCAGCCTCTGTTCGCCGCCCCCCAACGCTGCCGCCGCCCCCAGCATCCCTCCTCTCTCTTCCTGCTTTTACAGACACACACACACACACACACACACACACACACACACACACACACACACACACACACACACACACACAGTCTTTCAATGGTCTAACCTCCAAAAACACCTTTTTCCTGCTATGGGAAATATCTCTGAATAATTCATCACTCATCTCACCTTGAACAGTGCGCTTCTGAATAAAAGAGAGTTTTAAAGAGCCTCTCATAGATGTACACACAATACACACACGGATGAACACTCACGCACACCCTCTATCACATGCGCACTCGCACGCACACACGAAACGCTCACCCGCTCACACTGCGTCCTCCTGACAGCACTGCAGACAAACTAACAGAGAGTGGAGGCAGATGAGTTGCTTTGGCAGCCTCAGAATAAGACAGACATAGTGGGGTGAGGGCTTGTCACTATCAAACTGCCTCTGTTGAGACAAGACAGGCTGTCCACATGGCTCAGTCACAACAGCTTAGCGTGGAAGACCTCCATATTCAATCTGCCACCATGGGTACAGAGAAATTGGCTCTTTCAGCGGATTCAAACAGCATGTCTACTGGTAGCTTCACACAAGAATGGAAGTGGGAGGGGGCGGGCTTTAATGATGTCCTTGACACTTAAGTTAAATGACATCCATAACTTAGATGAGGGGCCTATTCCAAACACATTTTTTCGTTTTAAATGTTTCGGAGATGCTTCAGAGAATAGAAATGTCTTGAATCAGGAATGCATCTATTGTAATGACATTAAAATACACATTCTGTCACCCATTTTCTTTCTACTTTTCATTATGTGCCAATGGAAGTTACAAGCAATGCTTGATGGAATGGGGCACATCTATAATTTTAGAGCACTTAAAAAAAAAGGTGTGATATGTAAGACAACAGCAGCCTCGGTAAACGCTAGTAAACTAATAAACAAATTGATTGTTAGTCGCAAAGCAATTACTAATGATTTTTCGACTTGTTAACATAATTACATCACTTCAGGGATCCAGCTTTCCCCTCTCTTATTCAGTGGTGCATGGTTATTATGGTGAAGGACTGTTTAATGTTTAATTTACATTTACTCATTTTGCAGATGCTTTTATCCAAAGCGACTTACAGGTGAAGTTAGGTTACACCTAACTAACAAACAGATGAACAGATAGAGCTTAAAGCAACATTTCAGCATTATGGGAAATCTGCTCACCTGCTTTCTTATCAAGAGTTAGAGTATAGCCTACCACTCTCACTCAACCTCATGGTGACAACAAGAAGTCACTGTGCCCGGTCAAGAAACTGTCTGTTATAATCCACCAGAAATGCTGGCTTTAGCTTCATATTCACTGTACATATAGTACATGGCCTCAATGGTTTTTATCTAACTCTTGATAAGGGACATGAATATAAGTGTTTTCCAAAATGTCAAACTATTCCTTTAAATCATAATATTCCATTATTCTCTATCATCCATCTGTCATATATAGAAACCATTTACTAAGTGCCATGTCATTTGTCTCGTTCCTTGTCATCCTATTAGTCTTTGTTTAGTGCTGAAAGTGAAAATGAATGTGGAGCTGTGAAAACGCACTAATGAGAAAACTTAAGTCTTATTAATATTTCACATCTTTTCACCCCACCCTCCGCATTTCTTTTCCCACATTCCCCTACCCTCAGTATAAGCTACGTCCCAGCCCATCAGGTGGATGAGCACCGTACACGTCTGTGTTTGCCCCCTCTGGCATCCATCTCAGCAGACAGCGCTTCCTCCTCACCCACCCCAACAACACCTTCTCCAGAACCTGCATCGGCCCCAGCCAGATCCCCCGGTCCAGTCAGAGCTCCGGCTCTGACTCCAGCTCCAACCGCCCTCAAACCCTCTGCCTCAGTCAAATTTAAAGCTGCAGCTCCAGATCCAGCAGTCACAGTTAGAGCCTCTGCTTCGTTCAAAGCTCCATTCAAAGGCCCAGCCATAGTTCCCACCATCACCCCAGACCCAAGGTAACGTAAGATCCAGAGTTATCAGCCCATTATTTATGGTCACCTAATCCTTACTCAGGCCCCAGAGTGCAAGATAAAGCCGTCTCAGGGTTTATTAGACTTCAAGGCTCCGGCTTTATTACATGTTGATATGTTTGCGGCAAAGAATTCAGAGTATGAAGCTTTACATTCTGAGTTCTTTAATGTGTTAAGCTAGGCTTTTGATTTTTATAGCAGCCAGGATATTATTACTGTAACACATCACACATTTCAGCAGATTAAGTCACACTAATGATCTGAGTTTTTATCTGATACTTTAATTAACCGTATCCACAGGGAAACAATGTGTTTCAGTTTGCAACCAGCTCAGTGTGCGTCTCTTCCAGTCCGTATTTTCTCCTCTCCATTCTTCTCTGTGGTAAAAGGCAAAAGCTTCTGTGAATGTTGAATCTCTGAGTTATATTTAGCTGTTCACTTATGGATCTCAGTGCTGACTGTCAGCGAAAATGAATTGTTTCGCTTCTGTCTGTCCCTGCCTTCGCTCCATCTTCGTATCTCTGCCTTTCTCCTCCCTCCCTCACTCCCATTTCTCTCTGCAGCCTTTTCTTCACTCTTATCTTTCAATACATTGTCTTTGTCGCTTTCTCTGCGAGACTCCTCTCTTGACTCTTTGTGTCTACATCTGTCTCTCATCTCTCTCTCCCTCAGTCATCTTGCTCTGGTCGTTTTCTCTTTACCTCATTTTCCCTCTCCTCCCTGCCTGGGTCCTATCCCTCTCTCCTGGCCGCTCTCTTTCAGCCCTGGTGGAACCATTTGTTCTGCCCTCTTCTGTAACTTAACTGGCTATAGGCTCCTGCTGCGTAGATAGCACCACTATCACTCACCTCCATGGGCTTATTACAGCCCTCTACCGTTAAACATATTCATGAAAAATTCTCCTCTTCTCTGCCTCTTTCTTGCACACCTACACACACACATACAGCATATATATACAGAGATACTGTATATATATATATATATATATATATGTGTGTGTGTGTGTGTGTGTGTGTCTTTGTGTGTGTGTTAACACTCCTTTACTGTGACCTCCCTGGCAGAAAATGTGTATTTTCAGGGCAATTTGCACCAAAAGCAGTGTATCTTCTCAAGGCCCACCAATGTAACTCACTATTGGCAATGTGTCATAGTGTGTCAGGACTTGAAAAAATAACAAAGAATGCCAAGATACCTTGTTATCTACAGCACTTCTGCTGGTGTGATCTAGTCCAATGCTATTTAACTCTCAGATTGAGGGCTGTGATGAATAATGATTATTTTTACTTAAATTCTTGTCACAATTTTCCAGAGCTGAAGCTGCTGCTGCGGATGTTTTGTTTTGACCAACCAACACTCGTTGTACAATGACACAAAACAGAGATAAGCAGCAAATCCACACATTAGCAGCTGGAACAAGAGAATGAGTGGTATAAATGTGTGGTAGTTGATTTAAACAGTAAATTCTCCATCTGTCAGAGACTTTTTTATCAGTTACAGATTATTATTTGAGCAGTAAAGATAACCTTTATGCATGTTTTTTTTAGTAAAACTAAAATATAAAAAAATCTAATTTAGAGGATAGACAATGGAGTATCAGGTTTCCATTCAGCGTCACATATTAATGCCATTTTATTTCTGCTTGCATGTTTATTCACCATCAGTTGGCAGATTCCAAAATCTCTACCTCACATGAATAAAAGAGCAGGAAAAGAAGATGGAATCACTGTGGAAGAGAAAAAGGACACGATTAGTGCAGATGGGAAAGTACCAAAGCTGGAGGTGGAGATAAAGGTGGATGGTAAAGAGGAGGGCGATGGCGAGCTCTATCCTCACACCACCGTGTCTTGGGATCAACCTAGAAGGTTTGTGAATCAGTGGTAGTAGCCAGTAACAATGTCTTTTCTTGTCGTTAGATTTTATTCAGATTCTGCATTTTCAGCCTCTTTTCAAAACTCTGCCCATGATGCCCTTTATCCTCTCTGTGCCAGAGAAGGCTTAACAAAATCCTAGTGTGTTCGGGTTATGTTCACAGCAGGACTAGAGCGGCGCAGCGCCCATGCAACCAGCTCCTATTTCTTAAGCCCAGAAAAAGTGACAACTTTCCCAACCTGTATTTAACGCATTTATGACTGCATCCTGCTTGGATAAATCACTTAAGCTGCGCTGCATGCAAAGACCAGCTTTTGTGCGTCTCTCCCTGGCAGGTATAATATTCTATTGTTTCGACTTAATCTCTGAAACTCTATCCGCAGTCCTAAGCAGCGGATAGAGGAAGACTGAGAATGAAAAAAAATAGCAAACCTATTGGATTAATTCTGCTTCTTGTGCATTTTTGCAGTAATGTTTCAGACCAAGTAGGTCCTCATCAGGCATACAGAAGGCTTGAATTCATCGTCACTGTACCCGCACTGAAAGAAGGATTTTCAGCTCCACAATATGCGTGGATGTTCCTTGTATCCTGCTTTGTGTTTCAGTGTGCAGCTGACTCGAGCACCAGGCCAGTCCCTGGGTATCAGCATAATGGGAGGCAGAGGCATGGGACGGAGACTGAGCAGTGGAGAGATGATGAGGGGAGTCTTCATCAAGCACATCAGCCCCGACAGCCCGGCAGCACATAATGGCACCCTCCGGACTGGAGACAGGATACTGGAGGTGTGTGTGTGTGTGTGTGTGTGTGTGTGTGTGTGTGTGTGTGTGTGTGTGTGTGCGTGTGTTTGGGTCGGACTGTGTGTGTGTGTGTGTGTGTGTGTGTGTTGCAGAGACAAGAGAAAGAGACACTCTTATTGGAAATTACAGGAAACAAGTGTGTGTGTGTGTGTGTGTGTGTGTGTGTGTGTGTGTGTGTGTGTATACGAGTGTCTTGAGGCAGAGAGGGGATTGTGTGTGTTTGCTGCATGAGCATGCGCACACACACTGTACGCCTGTGCTGTAATCTGGTATTGTCCGTGGTCTCTTGTATTGAAAGATGATGATTTGATGATAATATGATAATGATAATGAACAACTCTGTTTTCTAAATAACAAGAAAATGTTATTCACTCCAATCCATTATCTACTCTAAGTCTAAGGTTCAAGGTTCAGTTTGTCATTATACAATACAGGATTCCAGAATGAAATGCAGTTGTAGCCTCCTACATGCTACACACAGAACATTTTGTAAGTCTAACAAAGAAACAGAATAAACACTACAAGGTGTGAGTGTGCACTGCTGAAGGCAAGCATACTAAGTGAAAATAAAAATGGGAAAATAGTAGAATGAGAAAAAAACTTATAAAATAAATAATTATCTACAGTATATACTGACACATATTCCCACTTATTTTATTAGACCACTAGACAATTATCTTTAATCATACAATAATTGCCAACCCTCTGAGGTTTTGCCGTATTGCGTGTACAAAAGTAGCCTTTTTTTTTTGGTATATTTGGTTGAATTATTGCAGACTATGTTGCAAAGGAATGAACTGGACTGCTTTAAAGCAATCTGGGATTTACATGTTTGAAATATTGCAATTCCTTGATTTTACAGGTTTCAGTGATTAGCCTAAAACAACATTTTTATCTCATTTTATTTCTATTAACAGGTTCTTAATTTCATTCACATAAATGTGGAAGATTTTACCCTTATTGCAAAAGCCTATTAGACACATATCCAATAATGTCATGTCCAATAACTGCTGTGTGTGTTGACTTGGCCAAGGTGTGTGGTGTGGACTTAAGAGATGCCAGCCATGAGCAGGCAGTGGAGGCCATTCGCAGGGCTGGAGATACTGTGGACTTCCTGGTCCAATCCGGACAACACAGACCTCAGGTATTGCATTTTGGAAAATAGCCAAAAAAAAAAAAAAAAAAGACACATTTCTACTGGCTTGGATTGCATTCTGCAGTGTATATGCAGGTACGTTATGCATACATTACATTGTGTAGCATTTGAGTCTCTTGGGGCCCCCGAGATTCTTGCACAGTGAATCTCAATACTCAGCATCTGCAAAGAGAGGGTGCAGTGTATATTCTATTGGACAACTCCATCAGAAGTTTCAGCAGTGCTGTGCGTGGGAGTTTGTAGCATTACAATATAATATCCTCTGGACACAGAGCATACTGAACAAAATTATCTTTGTCTGAAAATTTATCTGGTATCATATAACTTATCATATGGGATGCCGCATTTGAAGCATCCGTGTTCCACAGTCATATAGATAATATTCATCTGCCTACTCTGCATTTTGTGTTTCGCCCACAGTCTCCTATGCTCACCAACCATGAAAGACTGACTCCAACACCACAGTCCAACTCACACAGCAGCAAGGTAACACTCACCAGCCTTGATCTATTGATAGTTTTTCACTACTTTTCTTGTATAGATATTGATATACACTTAAATATAAACTGTAAACTGGCCTACAGAGTCAAAAAGAAGTAGCTACTTCTTTTCTGTTTTAAAGTTCATGACCTGTACTTTAGACCTCATTGGAACACATGACAAGCTGAGAAGTCATTTTCCCTGTTTCTGTTACTCATGTTTTACTGTGTGTGGCTCTAGTGTATAGAGAACATTATATATACACTATATATATATATATGTATGTATATATATACACACACACACACACATATATATATATATATAATATACAAAAACATATACATATATACATATATATAGTGTTGAGTCATTAACGCCTACATGGTATTCCACAAAGAATGAAGGAGCTTTAAAGGGTTTTTTGAGAGCTAGATTTGTATTTTGGTGATGATGCATGGAGGACTATATCTGTGTTTCCCCTCGTGATCGTAGGAAGCAGAGTCTCTCAGTGGTCTATTCCTTAGTCTCTCCCCTACAAACCCCTTCACTCCCACCCCCTTTAAGGTTGGTACATTGTTTGTGCATGTATGTGTGTTATCATGGGTCTTAAAAAGCAGCCTTGCATTAGCATTTGCACTAAGCCAACTTCCAAAAACTTAATTAACGTGCATATTTGTAGATAGAACCCTTGTAGTTCAAAGTCCCTTGCAGCTACCTTGTTTGTTTAAGCCCTTTGTTTTTCTCTTTGATGGAGATGCGTAACTCTCTAAATAGACAGTGCATTCTTTTGAAGTTATTTTTCCATGCACTTGTAAGTTGGTTGCAAAATAATGCATGATTCTGGTCATCTTTCATGTTATTTTTAGCTGACATTAAAACTGTGTTCATTAATTCATTCTGTTCGTCAGTTTTTCTCACTACTACATCAAGCACACTGAACAAGCCTCAGGGGTAGTCCAACTCATGCCTGAAGGACCCCTGAGGCGTCTCCAACTCTGCCTGTTCAATAATGCAAAACTTCTCCCAAGGTACCTTCGCCAGCATCAGATAGAAAGGATCGGAGAAGCCCCATAATTGTAACAACACCAATCACAGCAGCAGCTGAGGATGAGGGCGACAATGGCAGGAGTAAGTCTGCATCATAAAGACGTCACACAGGGATCCACCAACACCCTCAGGAATAGGAACTGTGTGGTGATTTTAACATAGTGGTCACAGTCACACAGTGCAGGTCACGTGATGCCCTCTGGCCCAGAATGACTTAGTGCTATGCAGAGCAAGAAAAAAAACAGTAATTCAATGATAAAATGTCATGAGTCACACATTTTATTATCACTATTTAAAGGGTCCTTATTTGAAAGTCACCAAGAGCCATATGAGCAAATTATTTCCATGCTATTCACATGTGAAGCTAGTTGCCTAGGCCCAGACTTCAATGTGCATGCATTTTTGGCCAAGAACACAAAAGCTGATAAAACTTTTTTCCTATAAAGTATGTTCTGGGAGAGTAACTTTCATTTGTATGAATGTTTTCAGACGATAACTGAGACTTTTAGCTTCTTCTTTGGCACAAAACAAAAAAAGAAAAACATTCTTGCTCACTGCACTAATGAAAGGTGCGTTGAGGAGTTCTCTTGTAAACAAAGTTTTGTTTGTATTCAGTGTTACTCATCAAAAGGCATTGGGTGTATCCTTGAGGTCTAACAAATGTGTTGAACACACTTTGTTTCCGTCTTCATAAAACATTTGCAAAACCAATTTCTCTTCAGACTTTGAAAACTGCATTGTTCATCATCATTCACTGCTTTTGTCGACGTACATGTTACGACCTCCTGTGGAGCAGTGGAGGAGAGACGCCATTGGCAGGAATGTATAACGTATCATGCGGACGCATGAGAACAAACAAAATAGGGACCCAATGTATAAAAACAATGATCCCTAGCACCACTAGTGGCCAAAAACTCCACAAGGTACCTCTAATGGAGTCTGTGTGAGTCATTCAAATGTTTGGGTGCATATGCAACAGTATAACACACAAATATAGACATGCACTTATGCACAACTACTCCCACAAACACACACATTATTTGTGGCACAAGCATGCACACACAAACCATATAGTCGTACTATATATGTGCATTATAGAGAAACACAGTCATCCTTCACCTTTCCATCAACATGACGGACATCATCCCTTCCAGACAGTTTGCTGCAACACACACGCGCACACACACACACACACAAGCTCCTCTAGGGTACCCATCATATCCTCTTCCTAACAGCCTCTTGTTTGTTAACTCCTAGAAAAGATGCTTCAGCGCTATGGCAGCCTGTCTGGGAAGCTTCATATGATTGAACTGGAGAAGGATCCTGCGGCTCACGGCCTGGGAATCAGTCTCTCGGGGGACAAGGATGGCTCTAGGGCCCGCATGAGTGTCTATGTGGCGGATATAGACCCTGAAGGTCCTGCTGGTTTAGATGGGAGGATACAGGTTGGAGACGAGCTATTGGAGGTAAGGAGGAGAGTGAATGGGAGAAGTAAAAGAAGGGCCAGGAAAGGTTGGAGTCCTGGAGAGAGACAAAATACCAGAGTCAAAATTGAGAGCAGCAAAAGGAGAGCACTGGGTGGTGGGTAGAAGGCATGGATGAGTAGAGAGCACTGAGTACCTGCACAGTAGATTTATCAGACAAATTACCATTTGAAGAATGGTTGGTCTTGAGCTGGATTCTTGCAATGAGCAAGAATAGATAGAGATGAGATAGAGATGAGGAGGAAAATCGAGGGAGAGGACAAGGTGAGAGGAGGAGGGGGAGAGAGATGAAGATGTCAGAAAAGCAGATTAATGTGGATATGAGTGGGACCGAGAAAAGATTGTTATTTTTCCTCTAGATCAACGGCCAGATCTTGTACGGTCGCAGTCACCAAAATGCCTCCACCATCATTAATAACGCTCCGTCTAAAGTCAAGATCATTCTCATCAGGTAATATGCAGTGATTTTCCTTGTGGCCATTTTTTCCCACATTTTTTTACTAAACTGGATGTAGGTGTTGACCAGCTTGAGGATAATGACAGGTTCCCGTGTTGTTTTACTAGGAATAAGGCAGCTCTGAGTCAAAAGGCTCAGGGATCCAGAACAGAGCGTGAGGACACAGTCGACTCCAGGAGAGACTCAGCAGAGCATGGAGGATTATCCACAGACATCCACCAAATCATCCTACCGCAGGTACAATACCTTCAGCACATCTTGGCATTAACCTCCAGCGGCACAGTTCAAGCAACCGACTGAGTTGTAACAGAATCTTATTGTATTGTAGTCTTTTATACAAGGCTGCTGTTAGCTTCAGTAATTTTTGGTAAGACTTGATAGTTATAGCTTGTTGTCTGCTTTCTTTGTCACGTCTCCCTATAGGATCATGTAGGTCTCGGCCTCTGCCTGGTAGAGGATGACTCTAAGGATGGAGTGGTCGTCAGGTCACTGATCCAGCACGGCACTGCTAGTAAGGTGTGGCATCATCAGTAGCATTACCACAGTTAGCTATGTCTTCTTCACCATGAATATGTTGGCTTTTATAAGGATTCAATTTCATGACATAGCCTGTATATGATAACACAACCATTTCAGTATCATTTGTTCGTCTCTTACTTAAATGTGCGTGTAATTAACTTTACTTTGTCAACTACATACTTTTTATCAGTGGTGGTGACAGAAGTATTCTATAGGCAACAGCATAGTCACTGTCAGAGTATTACATAATGTTATTGTATTATTATTACTTACGGTGTAAGCAGCTTTTACTGTTTTAGCCAGTTAAGGTGAAGCTAATATGAGCTATTTTATCTGTTGTTAGGTAGTTTAATCTACAACAATGCATCGTATTTTAAAAGTTGGTCATATGTTTTATATGAAAGATCTTGATCTTGAAAGTAATCAGTAACTATATGTGTAAAATCTAGTAAGTAAAAAGTACAGTATTTGACTCTGAGTAGAAGTATAAAGTAGCATAAAATAGACATTCTCAAGTAAACTACCTCAATGTACTTAGTGTGTGTTTGTGTGTTTGATTTTTAATCTAACTACACTTTCATAAATTTTGCTTCATTTCCACTTTTTCTTGATGTTTCTGTCTGTGTGCAGGATGGCAGAATAAAGCCTGGAGACAGAATCATAGCAGTGGGTGATGAGCATGTGGCCGGTCTGCAAGTGGACAAGGTACAAACACACACACACACACACATACACACACACACACAATATGCACTTCAAGGTCTTCCTGATTTAATGATTTATGACTCGCCTCTTGTCTCCGTATTCAGGTGTCCTGTTTGATCCTCAAACACCGGGTCACTGTCAAGCTCTCCATCAGCCGTTCCAAGCAGCTCTCCTCCTCTTCCACTCTACCTCTCCCTACGTCTCATTCCTATCCCTGCTCTGTTGCTCCTGCATCCTCCCTAACCCTCCCTGTTTCCTCCTGCTACTCTTCATCCCTCAATACCATTCAGACCTCTCCCGCAGGTCGGTCTGATTGGCTAGGATCTGCGCCCACAACTTCTGACCCCCTGAGCTGCCCAGTTGTAGCTGGCAGGGAAACCATGATGGAGATCTGTAAAGGAAATGTAGGCCTGGGCCTCAGCATTGTAGGAGGATGTGACACTCTGCTGGTATGACACTAACACTAAAAGGGACATTTGCTGTTTTTGTTAATGGAAAGCCTAGCCAAAGATCAAACTCATAATTTTATCAATCACTCATTTATTTATTTGCTATTTTATCATATTTTCAGTATTTCTTCCAGCCTTTTATCTGGTAGTATAAAGCATTGAAGTGTGTAGTGTTTTGAAATATTAAGTATGTCAAGGCTGATTGGGCTTAGCTTGATTGTACTGTAGGTCCCTGTAATAATGAGAGTTTTCTGATTTTTCCACCAGGGGGCAGTAGTAATCCATGAAGTAAATGATGGAGGAGCAGCACAGAGAGACGGAAGATTGCAGGCTGGAGACCAGATATTAGAGGTATTAAGAGGAAAACACTAACCTTTTATTGTTATGTCATAAAAAAATAATGTAACTCTAATAGTATTTCTCTATCTTGTTTTCTGTTTTTTTCAACCCAGCAACACAGAACTATTTTTGTGGGCACATGACTAAAAGAAAACATTTTATTTGTCTGCTTATTTTGTCGCATCATATTTAACAATTTGTTATTTAATTTTGGCATATCAAATATTTATATAAAACTTTGGAAATCTCATTTCTTTATTTATATTGACAACCAATGTGTCAACCAATTTTAAACTGTCAAGATTTTCTGAAACCAATCAAGTGGCAGTTTCAGAAATACAAGCTTAAGACAATGAAATGCTGAAATGATGACAAAAGCAACAAAATCTGCATGCTCAAGACAAATCATGCACATCATCAGGAAGAAGAAAAAAAAAATCAATGACTCAAAGCAATAGCATGCTTGTAGGCTGATGCTATCGCCCTCAGTGCAGCTGTTAACCACGCCAAAGAACTCCTTGTCATTGCTTTCTGCTGTGTGTGATTTCTCACCTCCTCCCAGGTCAATGGAATAGACCTGCGGCAGGCCACTCACGATGAGGCTATTGGCGTGCTGCGGCTCACCACCCGGCGTGTTCGCCTGTGTGTCTTCAGGCACCAGGAGACCTACAGGGAGGAGGACCTGTGGGACGTCTTCACTGTGGAGCTCAGACCTCGTCCTGGAGAGGGGCTGGGGCTCACCACCGTGGGGAAGAGGTACGATCGTGGTGCTCTTTGACAAATGAGAAACCTTGTTTTATTCACAGCAGGAATACATGCCTGGCCAAATGTACTGTAACTAAAGGTTTCATTAGACATGGGACATTGTAGTTCAAAACCTAGGTGTCGCAAAGCCAAACTATAACTTTACATACGTGTGAATGAATAAATAATAGTCAGAGGTTTCAGTTTCAGAGCCCTGATGATGAGAAAAAACAGCATCTAGGTCAGCTTTAGGAGCTTAACAGCAATGAGGATATGCCTGGCAACTGTAAGTCAAACCAGTGGAGGAGGTTGATGATGACATCAACAAGCAGCACTGTATTTTGAATTATACTGGAAACACAACACCTGTCAGCTCTTGCACCTTGTGAAGATGAGAAATAGGTGAGAAATAAAGTGGGCCATGCATTTATTTAATCATTCCACTATTCAAGGAAATGATTCAGCAAATGCGTGGTCTATTTCTGACCTCAGATTCACTCAGAATCTGCTTTTTGTCAGTAAGTTGACATTAGTTGGTGAATTAGTTGAACTCTGCAGTTTCCAGAAGGAGGCAATGTCTTTATAGGTGGAATTTTTTTCAGCCAACCCAATATCAAGTTGACTTGAGCAGGAATGGTTCATGATAATGTTGGAGTGAAAAAGAACGCGCCCATCTTCTGTCAATTGGTTGGTTAAAGGCTAATCGATGTAATTTTTATATACACCTATTAATAAAACTTCTTGAAGCAAGTCTGGTTCACTATGGCCTTTCCAGACCTAACACATATTTGTAGGCTGAATGTGTGAGTTGAACTTAACCACAGTCTTCCCACTAATGTAAAAAGAGTCTGGACTCGCTGTTGTGGACAGATGCATGCAATGTAAGATGGAGGCCATCTTATGTGGACTAATTAAATTATTATTGTTTATTTATTATTATTTATCTATCTATCTATGATCAAAAATAACTATGAGCCTCTGTGTCTCTATTCTACGTTGTTTGTCTTGTTGATGTAGCATCACTTGGTATCATTTACTTTCATAAATATAGTACCGCTCTTTCATTAATTGACAGTTTAAGAGAGAAAAACAAATTTGAACCATACTTGAAGTCAGTTCAAGTCTTTTGTTGAGCACTCAACTCTTTGGTAATGTCAATACTGTAAAGTTAAACTCGACTGCTCTCGAGCTGCGAGGCCTTTACCAAGTTAGAGATCAGGGGCTGTGCAGCAACAGGGATCATTATTGTTAAAACGAGGTGACAGACACATACTGTAATGAAATCACACACCATTACAGCATCCAATAATCAGCATAAAGGTTATACAGCCAGGCTATCACTGTCACACTGCACAGAGGACACATTATTTCTAAAGAGTTAAGATGCAGATTTTCATGCAGGTTCATGTATCTGCACAAACAAGTGTGACGTTATGCAAAGCAGCAGGCTTACGGCTCATATAATTTATTTTATGAGCGTGGAACCGACGCAGTTTTTGACCTCTGTTTTCTTCCAACAGCAATGACACGGGCATCTTTGTGTCAGATATCATCAGAGGAGGCGTAGCAGATTCAGATGGCAGATTGTTGCTAGGTGACCAGATTCTGTCAATCAATGGAGAGGATGTCCGTGCAGCGTCACAGGAACATGCACAGAAGCTCCTACAGGTCTCACACATTCTCACTTACACATACAAAAAAGGCTATAAACGAATTAGAAGTGGGTTATAAATGTCTTTATGGATTCATCATCATACGTGCCATATGTCGCCTTGCTCTCAGAGTTGCAGTGGAGTGGTGCACCTGGAGGTGGCTCGTTTCAAAGCTGGGGTGCAGTACTCACACGGGAGCCAGGTAAACTGTTTCTCTTGGTTGTCTTTGTCAAACCAGTGACAGGAAAGAAAACAAAAAAAAATCAGATGTTGAATTAACCTGATGTGATTTAGGTATGATTTGCAATGTATTCATAGAGTCCAAACTCCGTTAAATTAACTCACTCACTTTAACGTACTCTGCAGTTCAACTATTACTTTAATGCACAATTTTAACAATAGTGCTTTGTGAACCTAGGAGTACTTTAAGTTGTGTTTTATCCAGAGCGAAGACTCTGACTGTTCCACCCTGACCCCATCAAGTGGATGTGACGCTGCCCTCGGCCACCAGAGGGAGACAGATAACAAAACAGGGAGCTGTAGTGAGTGGCAATTCATGTTCAAGAGTATTGTTTCAAAGCAAAAGAAATACATCCTGCTTGTTATTAAGATTAAAATCATAAAGTCTTATCTTTCAAATGGTCAACAATTTACTGAGTGGAAAAAATGATGATGATGATGTGAGTTGATTATGCAAACATGTATGTCTTTCTCCTCCCACAGCAATTCAAGACTTCCCTAACATCAGAAAAGTCATAATGCAAAAGGTAGTGCATAAAATCTTGTAATTGTGTTTATTAACAATTTTAACATGCAATGTGTCACTTTAGTGCCCCATAGTGTCTTGGAGAAATTGCATATGTAGATGTGTATTCTCAGTTAATTAGAATTTGGTTGTGACCCCTTAGAGCTTTTGTTCTCATATATGTGTGTGTGTGTGTGTGTGTGTGTGTGTGTGTGTGTGTGTGTGTGTGTGTGTGTGTGTGTGTGTGTGTGTGTGCGCGCGTGCGAGTGCGTGTGTGTGTATGTGTGTCCCATGTGATTCACTGTTATTGTCTAACAGAATCTATAATGTGTGTGTTATCACGACAGGGTCCATGTGACTCCCTGGGCATCTGTGTGGCAGGAGGAGTGGGCAGTCCCCATGGCAACGTACCTCTTTTTATTGCTACCATGGATACCAATGGACTGGCTGCCAAAACACAGCAATTACAGGTGGGTAGTGCCCATCTATATGTGTCTGTGTATACAGTGTGTATTATGTATTCATCACAGTTTGACTAATTATTTTAGGGTTAAGACTTGGCTTTAGGGTTAAATGTAAAATTATGACGAGGTTAGGTTAGCTTAAGTTAGGTAAGGTTAGCTTAGGTTAGGTTTGGTTTGACAAAAATGAGGTAAAGCCTCACACCCTCTCAGGTGTGATGTATATTTATTGGGATAAATACCAACATTTAGGCAAACCTGTCTTTGTCATGGTTTAAAAATGCATTTTATATGCCATGTATAGGGGTTGCAATATTAAACTGAGCCCACATAATCTATTTGGAAATACCAAGCAATACCGTACTGTATAATTAAATTATAGACATACAAACCATACAGTATATAGTAGCTACATGGATTCAAAAATCATGAATAAATATGGTATATATTGAAACATGCCAACAGCAGATTCGGACAAATTGCCTATTAAAAGACCCAAACAACAAAGGAAAAACAGAAAAGAAAACAGGACACTTCATGAAAAACATCCTAAAAGTAAAAAATGCTAGATTAAGCTTAGGGTAAATCTTGAGGTAGGCATATAGTGGTTATAGTTTATGGTTAGAATAAACTTCCTTGGAGTTACTTTAACTCAATACAGTTTCCTCATAAGTATAGAAGTAGAAGTTTGTGTTTTTGTGTGTCCATTAGACAGGAGACAAGATTCTCAGTATCAATGATGTGTCCACGGAGGGAATGACTCATGTCCACGCCGGAGCCCTCCTGAAGAACGCCACCGGAACCATCAGTCTGCAGGTAATGTCGCAGTGAGAAATGCAGCTGCTCATCTATAAAGCCCGTGCGGCGCTACGTTACTGTGCGATAACATCAGCAAGTTTTATTTCAGTGTTGCCATGTGACCATAACCTGCTTCCTCTCGGTCATTTCCACTTTTGTCAAAGTCACAGAGACATCATTTTATAGGCATACAACTCAAACATCAAGTTTTTAACAAGGAGCTGAAATGAGATAGTGTATAGTTTCAGCCGTCGCCTCATTATCAGTATTTTGTTTGTGAGCACTACACTGTAATTTCAAGACAATTGCATGTCTGACACTGATTTTAAACTGTTTGTTTTCATGTTAATAAGCTTCTGGGAAGATTGTGAGGAACCGGGTGTCGGTTGTTCTTGACAAGTGCATTGTGTGTTAAAAAAAAATCTAAAGTTTTTATGTTTTATAATTACTCCCACTGTATTAACATTAGGACAGGCATGACCAGGTTATTGCAGCAATAGGATATCATACTATCGTCCAACTATTTCATTGCTAATTGAGTTCATTTAAGGTTCTAAAAAAATATATGTTTATCTCCATATTTACACATTCTTTTGTCATGTCTATCTCTCGTGTATTTAGGTCGCAGCAGGTTCTGGTGGGTGCAGCACACAGGACCACAGTGTCCATGCCCGGTCATCAGGCCAACCCAGCAGCCTGCCCTGCTTTCACAACAACCTCTGGTAATAATCAGTTTGCTGTCAAGTCTCCTGCTGTTGTGCTTTATGATCTTAGTTTGGCTCCCTCCTGGTTTATTCACTGAATAAGGACAAAGGCAAACCCCTCGGTTCCCTTGACAATAGTGAGGAAGTGCAGCCACTGCGTGACAAGCATTGGGATGAATGTACTTTTGGCCAGAATGAGCTTAAGTGTTTTTATGTTCTGTGATTTGGTTTGTTTTCAATTGATTGTTTTCAGGTAATTTCACATTTCTGTTTCACTTAAGGGTTTTTGGCAGCTTATTGAACTGAATAATACATTTGAAAATACTATAAAACTCTAGAATCTGATCTGGTAACTGGCATTTTAATGTCATTCAGGAGGCATCATTATATCAGTCTTAAGTCTGCTGCAACCCTTTGTGCAAAACAGGCAACCCAATAGAGGTCTCAACCCTGAGGTTGTGAAACTGTGCTCTCGAGTATTGCAGTCTCGCTCTGAAAAGGTGTCAAAAATAATTCTGGGATTCGTCACATTTAACCACACAGCACATTAGAAATTCACCTGTCTTTCCTCACATGTTGTCTGCCCTAGTGAGATGAGATACTTCACATACATTCACACAAACACACAGCAAATTTGCAGTGTGGAGCTGGTGCAACACGCAGAGCAACACACCTCCATTGTTTTGCATTCTATTCCCACAGTGCTCGCATGTATAAGACCATCACTCTGGAGAGAGGCTCCTCAGGCCTGGGTTTCAGCATCGTAGGAGGGTTCGGCAGCCCTCACGGAGACCTGCCGATCTACATCAAAACTGTCTTCAACAAGGTGAGAGAACGTCCTCCAGGGAGAAATCTTTCATGGGGATCCTGGTTCAGAAATCTAATCTCAGCACAGCTTTGTGTTCAGTTACACTGACACTTTCAAGTCATAAACTGCCAAGGGCTTAAGGTTTGAAACAACGGATATACTATGACAATATAGCAATATAGCAATTGTGGCTATTACTACTGCTTTTTACTGAAGTTTATTGAATGAAAAAATCAAAAAGGACTGACAAGCAGCTGTTCCTCAAAAATATAAAACCTGACGTGATCCGACTGTGAGAATAAAGTGATGAAAAGACGATGGTGATAATGATGACGATGGTGACGGTCAACAGAAAATATATTGGAGCTCTACCAAATCCCTTTGTCCAAATCTCCCACCGCCACCCAAGTGAGCAGGTAAAATAAGGGGAAACCACACCCATGTGTCAATCAACGGAAGTGACGCAATATGTGCAGCCCAAGCAAATATAAACATAAGCAAAAACATATTTTGGCTCCTACAAATAATAATAGTAGAACTTAGTCTCCTTAGTCTCTTTTAACCTGCAAAAAGAATGTTGTAAGATGAGTTATTTCACCTCTAATACAACTGCAATAAGGCTATATGATTATCTTATTAAATATCTAGGAAGGATCGTCTGAGTTACATATTAAACTTATATAGTCAAGCATTTTATTTTAATCTGACAGCTGTTGGCACTGACATTATTTGTCACATATTGCAGTATACTGTTGTTATCTTCTATCTACACCTCTCATATGTGTCGTTGAGTCGGTGTGAACAGTTTTTGATCTGGTGATCGTGGTGATACGCGTGTCTTTGTGCTCTGCAGGGGGCGGCCATAGAAGACGGCAGGCTGAAACGTGGAGATCAGATCATTGCAGTGAATGGACACTGCCTGGAGGGTGTGACCCACGCAGAAGCTGTGGACATCCTCAAGAAGACCAAGGGGAGCGTAGTCCTCACCGTTCTCTCCTGAGACATGGTTCATTTTGTCCCATTTAGTTTATGTTTGATTATTATGGCAAAGTAGCCCTCAGGTGATGTCAGCTACTTCCTGTAGAAACTGCTTCACAAACACCTGAGAGGGCAAATAAGGATAGTTAAAGTGATGTAGTTTTGTTTAGAATCATAAGCAGAGTAGATACTGTGAGTGTCAATTTATCTGCATTTAGTTTAGGGAAGCTACCTCTAACTGCAGCGCGGTTGTGTTTAAATGCACACAATATTCCTGATATAAACTCATATTCCTGTGAAGGTGTTATTTGAAATAATGTGTTAATGTTATGAATCTTCATACAGCAATGATGAATATTTCCGCATTTTTTATATTACCATGGAAGCGACGTTCATAGAAATCAAAGCACCAAAAGCAGATCATAAAGAAGCCAACATCACAGTGTCCCAACTAATGATGATATATTGTGTCTTAATTACCCTGTTCAAGGTATTTGTAATACACTTATGCATTGATATGCATCATTTCACATGTAAACACACTCATGAATAAATCACCATCCACAAACCACTGAATCAGCCGACAAATGAATGCAATAGAAACATCTGACATGTGACATGTTTTACTGCTGTCTCCTGACTTGTGTTCGCTCAGAGCTAATTACTGTGATAAACTCCTAAGGCCCACTACATGCCAAGTGCTTCTGCCAATCTTTTATATGGCAATAAGGTTTTAGGATAATTGCTTTGTGTAAGACTGTTTTACTTTTATTCCTCATTCTCATATTCTAATAATTAAAAATGTGTCCTAATTCCTTGACTTATCAGTGTATTAAATGACGTGTATGATTAGCGATTAGAACCACCTTGTGTGAAGGAGTTAGAACAGAAAAGAAACTCATTTTGCTACATCTGTTAAAAGCAGCTGCTAATTCCAGTTACTTTAAATGTCAGCTCCAGGAGTAACTGATTTGTTATTATTTATTTATTATTTATTTATTACTGTTTTCATAATCTTAAATTTTATCAGTTGTTTTTTTGGACTTTAATGGAGTATTGTTAGAGCATAAAGTGCAATCTTTATTTAGAAACCTTCTCATAACTGTTTTATATGATTTTATATATACTGTGATATTTACATTTTCTTCACTGTCATTTATTTTATTTCATTTATGTGAGTAGTCCTCAGAGCCACCACACACACACACACACACACACACACACACACACACACACACACACACACACACACACACACACACACACACACACACACACACAAGCACACCTGAGTGTTTGCATTGTGTAGCATTGTATAATTGAATGTACTGTGAGTGATCCTATTAAATGGTCATTTGTTAGAGTTGTTGTATCCGAAATTGGAATTCCATGATTCTGTTTACTGACTTGCCAGATGTACATCTGCATGAAATGTCATAGTGAGACAAGCGTTCACCTTAAAGATGGTTATATTTTAATGATGAATGACAACAACCTAGGAATCTTTCCTGTTTTCTGATACTCTGTGCCGTCTCTGTGAATTAATACTGAGTAGGATAAGCCCATGGATATCACATTGTTTGACTTCCAAAGCCCTCAGATGCAGATCAGGAAGAAGAATTTGAGAAAATCTGAGATTCGTGAACTGTTAAACAAGAACATCTGGGCCTTAAGTCACGTTTTTAAGGACATATATATATGTATATATATATGTCCTTATATATATATATAAACTTTTTTTGCATATTTTTCATCATTTTGTTCATTTTTCATCATTTTTTTCCAAACCAGTGGACTGCATTTTTCCTTGGAGATGTTTTATTGTCGTGGTTACGCTTTTTGTCTTTAGTTCTCGTTCTTTCTCTCCGTCTTTGTCAAACATGAATACGTAATGAGGATCACTCAGGTTTAGTCAAGGTGCTAGGAAGAAGTGTGTGTCATACAGTATATCATGGAATGACAGGGCACCACTAAATCACAGAGTAGGGATTAGAGTGACGACAGGAGAGGAGAGGATAGGATAGGAGACGAGAGGAGAGGAGGATTAGTTAGTACAACATCTCGGAGAAAGCAAAAGAAATCAGTCTTAATTGGTTTACAACCTGAGTGAGGGACAAACCAAGAGAGACTGAAATTGTGCCTTTTTTATTTTATTTTTATTTCATTTTATCTTATTTTTCTTAAATTCACAGAACTTTCCCTTTAATTACTGGAGTTACTGGTGACAACTTGACAAACAATACATTTGCACACAAATGTCTCATTTAGGAAATAGGAGGCATCTAGGGAGATCCTGTCTGGAGCCTCCGCATTAATCAAAGCCATCTGTTCACATTGCAAGCTTTATTGAAACCCAGCCATCACAGTCTGGTTTATCCTTCTCCAGATGAACAATTGCCTGCCTAAAGGCTGGCGTGAAGAGGGTTTTAAGATGGAGAAATTGCACAGTGCTTTTTGTGCATTTAACGCGGATGTTTCTGACAATATAATGATTCTTCCTTTGTGAAAAATAAAACTATCATATCTGCTACTCATTTGGCATCTTAAAGCAAATTTACATATTTATTAATATTATATTTTTATCATTTGAGCTTGGATTGTGGATTTCCATACAGCTCTTGTGGGGGTAGCAGGGGGCAGATGCGGTAACATCTCCCTTTCTTCTCTTTCATTAAGCAAGAAAACTGATCTGCTGGTTTTCACAGCCAGGCTCAAATTCCCTTTTCCTCAAACATTTATGAGGAATGTGCCAGCAGGCCACATGCAACGGTACCTTTTCCACCCCATGGCCCTTCTTACCCTCTTTTCCATCATGTAAAAAAAACTACAGCAGGGCCTAGATACTGTGGCTGCAAAACTGCGATGCATTTTCATGCAGTTGAAAATAAACATGACTTTCATGAGAGCACACTTGAAAAGAAAAGCACTAATGATCCTCTCCCTCCGGAGGGTAGCAGTGGCCAAATGATTGTTCTATGTGTGACTGTCACATCTATCCATATTAATAAATCCACAGGATTGTGTCTTTAGCAGTCAGTGTAACCTGCTGGTACAGAGAGAACAGCCAACTGATGGTGGGTCCAAAAAAATCTCTTCTTCTTCGCCATCCATTTCCCTCTGAGTCTTTTTCAGGATACTAGCCTGCACTGCGAAAATGCCAATCCTAAGTAATTCAATCCAGTGCTGAGTCTTAAAATTTTGCTCTCTTTAAAGCACGATAAAAATATCCCAACCAGGAGATTCACTGTAACTACTGAATATACTTTATAGTAAATTGCAGCTGCCACTTTAGGTGTCACCATTTCCATACCATGCCCCAATACTGAGTCTAGGTTGTCACAAGCAAATGAGCTGGACTGATGGGAAATATTTCATACAGAGGCATGCATGCCTATGTCACGCCATTTTATTCAGTAGCATCGCCTGAAGCAAGAAATAATTAGGTACCGTCATGCAGTTATGGCAGAGAAGCACAGCATCGCACGCTGTATAATCTGGTTATGAGTTTTAAAATCACTCTGTCTTATTAAAACAAGAATTTGACAGTCAAGTAATTTCAGTCTTTTCAAATTCAGATTTCTAGGACTTTTCTCTCCTTTATCCAACTATGCTTTAGGCATAGCTGTAGCCACACATTAAAAAAAATCATTTTGAAGATAAGTGAATTTGTTTCTATTCATTTGTATTTTTTTCCTTGTTTGATTCATTCATTTCTTGCGCAATGAATTCTTAATTCATTAAGAAAAAAAAACCACTTGAATGTCTCATGATTTCTTCACATGTTGGTCTAAAAGCCACTTTCTTATTGTTCTTTACTTGATGCTGTTAAATGGTTCTATTTGTTAATTTTCATAGCTGCAAATTTAAGACACTAAATCTAAAAAATACTGAAAATCCACTTTGTGTATCTTTAAATGATTAGTTGGTGCTGCTATTATCTCTGCTGTTATTATCACACAAATTATTACACCCATAAGTACCACCAATTTTATTATCATTATTACCAGTATATACTTGTGTTTCCCCCCCAGACGGGCGCCTACCCTGAGTCCAGTTCTGTCTGAGGTCCCTTCCTCTTAAAAGGGAGTTTTTCCTCTGCACTGTCTCCAGGTGCTTGCTCATGGTGAGAACTGTTGGGTTTCACTCTATAATATTGTAAGGTCTTGACCTTACTCTGTAAAGTGCCTTGCCTTGAGATAATGTTTGGCAATGAAATAAAAATGAACTGAATTGAAGAAAAGTTAAACTGCTCCTCAACCCCCAAAATCCCCAGAAAGAGATAAACGTAGGAGAACACAGCCTCAGTGACATCAGTGGTAGGCTTGCTAAAACCCTTCCTTTAACTTTCCACAAATGGATCATAAATGGGCAGTGCAAGCAGCGCTTTGGTTATGTGTGTAGGTCAAAATTTCTAAGAGGAGGAAACGAGCGTGTTGTTTCCATATATAGTCTATGGTTTTTTCCTTGCAGATGAAAAGGTCATAACAAGACATAGGAAGCACTTATCTGTGATGCATTTTGCAGTTCAGTACCTGCATTAGGAAATGACTAACATCGGTTTTGGTGAAGCCATGGCAAGTTTTCATATTAATAATGTAAAACGAAAGTGGCCAGTTTAGTCAGAAACACGTGCAGAACAAAATGTCACTGACCATGAACTGAAGTCCTCACTAACAGTTCAGTGAAATCAGGCCTACTCAGACCTAGAGCCCTTGTAGAAATGGTGCTAAACAAGTAGGGATTATCTCGTTGGCCTCCGACCTCTAGGGGGCGTCCAAACTCCCACCAACTGTGGCCTCAATTTTCTTTTAATGAAATCATAAAAAATAATTTTGTGTGTGCGTGTGTATGTTGAAATACGAACCAATGAATGCAGAGTTACTTTGGTTGCAAAAAAATATATATGATCGGTTTGCTGGAAGTGTCTGTATCATGCGTTATTATGACGATGACGAAGGAGGTCAGAGGTCAGGTGGTGACCGTGGGAATTTAGCGGTAGATCCGGCTGGTCGCCGCAAAAAT